GCTGAGAGAGTTGCCGGCTACATTCGAATTGGCCTCTTACAGCAACAGATGCACTCTCCATTTTTTTTGTGATAAATGAGACCCATTGCTAAACTTTCCAGATCCCCCCCCCCTCCCCCCAAGTGACAGGCCAAACATCACCTCTCGCCTATTAAAACAGTTCTTTTTTGCCAGGATCCTAATTAGGCACTTGCATATAATAGGACTAACCTAGACTTCACATATTCTGTAATTAATGAGCATGTCTAGAATTCAAGGCTCTTTACGCATTCATTGTTCACCGTAGGAATAATTTGTTTTATGCCCCCATTAAATACTCCGATCGGCAAGCAGGGGCTCTATAGGTGGAGAGTGCAATGAGAGCTGGAATTTTTGTGAGAGAAAGATGGACCAAAGGGTGGTGATAGTCATAGACGGCGTAATAAATGCAAGCTATGCTCTAGGTTCTGGTTGAGATTATATGGCAGTTTGCTGCATGGCAAGAGGTGATGATGGACATCCGGTGTAGTCATAGGTGCTCGTTGTGGCCATGGAGATTTATTGGATCTGTAGAGAAGAGTAAAAGACTAGATTCACCAAGACTTTAAAGCTTTGGCCGGCATCGCAATGAGCTCCTGGTGATTGCAATTCCTTTGCTGGTCCTTGGAGATACAGTATCTCTCCATCTATGGACAGCAGAAGAGTACTTCAATTAAATGATCCTGCATGCCACCTTCCTCATGAAATATCCCACCTCAACCTAACCACTGAACCATCACGTTCTCAAACAATTCATCCCCACACAGCTACCTCCTCATGTATCACTTCCCCCTCCCCTTTTAGATTGTAAGCCTTACCGTCTTGAATTGTATTGTCATTGTAATGTCTTATATTGTAAAGCGCTGCGCAAAATGTTGGCGCTATATAAATACTATGTAATAATAATATTAATAATCTTGAAATACACGTGAAGACCTCAAATTCAATAAGTCATGAAATGCTGGGTAATATTTATGTCCCCCAACCTCCTCTGAGATATTTGGGCCTTTACTAGCCATGGACAATAATGCCCATCTCCTTTTTAAAGCTTGGCATATGTGTCTGGGAAGGTTTTTCTTCTTTGCCCAGGGTGATCTCAGAGTCTTTACACCTAGACTGTACAATTTGCATATAGACATATAGACTTTGTACCTTGTGAGTCAGGGTTGACTAATGACTATGACTAAGGAGGAGTGAGCAGATTTAAACACGGTGTAAAGAAGCACATATAATCTTGTGAACAGCCCACCCCTTTCATGTTCAGTAGAAGCAAACCATAAGGGCCGTGACAACACTTTTCTTCTCATCTCATTTCATACCAACGCCCACTTCTTTTCCCAGCTTTGAAATGCTAGTGACTATCGCAGCCCTGGTGATGCCCACCTTGAGCTTTCTCCTTCCATGAACCCACCTAACTACCACTCAGGGCCAGATTAAGCCGGTGGGTCAGACAGGAAGCAGCAGAGACGCTCTCTGGTTAGGCGGTAATTATGCCTCATTAGAGAGTCGCCGTGCCTCTGCCTGATTGTGTTCAGTGTCACTGGCCTGGATTGGCATTGGGCATGCAGAGGCGATCCAGGCCCTTTTCAGTGGCAGTCCTGGAGCTGGAACTCCAATAGCTCCTATCTTAATCTGGCCCTGCAACCACGCCATCCAACCCATCAGCTCACAAGCAGACATCGCCATCACTCTCTCGATTTGAACATATCAAAACAAATTCCAGCTAATTACACCAGCTAGAGTGACAAATCCATTTATGACTTTTGAAGGAACATTCATGTGAACCTTCCTATATTTGCCTGTGCTTGTGTTTTAAAAGATACTATGTTGTGAGCTTGTGTAGTAATGACCTTTAGATATTATTGCAAAACTGACCGAGTAAATTCTGACTTGGTTTTTTGCGCCTTTTCACATGACATATTTCCATGATGGTATATGGCATAGAGAATTGTAGCTGCTCCCTCTAGTGGTTGTCTGTATTATACAAAGTTCAGTCAGCATCCTTGCTGAATGGATGCTGCAGTAAAATCAATTAGAGAGGCCAAAGGAACTGCATACTTTCTTTAGTAAAATTCTTCAGACAGAGATCTGTGTCCGTAGACCTGCATTGCAACGGGAAGCAATAAAGCACATGCACTGTGCTGCACTATAAGGATGTAAGTATGCAAAGATCACCAGTAAAAATGTCTTCATCGGTATGCTTATATAATTACAAAATATAATTGCTATAATGTATATTGTTCATAAGACATCAACAGATTGATAAGGTTGTACACAGCTGATAATATTTGCATTGCTATATTAAAACTTGATGAGAGAGAGAGAGAGAGAGAGAGAGAGAGAGAGAGAGAGAGAGATAGATAGATCACTATATCACTATGTTATATCTAACTACATGTTACAGTGCCCTTTTGCAGCACAATTCAAGCAATGTGTATGTGGCATGAAGCAATGGTGATCATGTTTTCAAACAGGTTACATAATAAGTAACAAGTGACATCATTATTGACTTCTGTCTTTATGATGTTGCCAGTCCTGCTGCCCTGATAGGCTGCATCTTCCTAAATACTGGCTCATTACACCTAATGCTTTTAATGTCTTTATTAGCAGCTACATTTTAAATCTCCACAAGGGTCGTACTTGCAGCATCCTATACACATTGTGCAAGAGCTCAGAATATATAGATATATATATATATAGCTAGCTACAGCTATGTGGTTGGATAAGCAACGTAATTGAAGACATCTGTTGGTAGACATACATAAACTATACTATGAAATGTATTTAACAGCATACCAACCAATCAGAAGCCATTTTAGCGTATAGAATGCATTGAAAGCTGATATGGGATTGGTTGCTTTGGGTGACTGCACATAATAACGCAGCATCAGCGTAGCTGTAATGAATATATTGTGAGAAGGAAAGGAGAAAGAGTATATATTACATTTACTGGGCCAGCTTAGCCAAAACTAATTTCAGCTTTTGATGTTGGACTGTTAACAGTTTCTTATGTGACTCTGTTGGTAAAATATCTGCAGTTGAGTTCTTGGGGGTCTGCATACCCTGCCCTGAAGCAGAGGACTGGGGTCTTCCTCTTAAATGTATCATTTATATTATTGATAATGCAACAGGAGGATTGGGAACACCACAAGGAGGGAGGGAGCAGAGCCAGGAACTGAGGGGTGGGGGATCTGTTTAATGGACTCCCCAGGAGATATAAGGAACCAAGTGGTGGCTCAGCCCACCAGACTAAACCAAAAGCTAATACGGGTTAGCACTATATTATGACCATTTCACCCATAACTACCAATCATGGCAATCCACTCTGCCAAACTAAAATCAGATTTCTTGCTACGAGGCATTGTATCATCATCGCTCTTCGCCTTATAAAAACGCATGCAGGAATATTTGTAATGCATCCACTGAATGGGATTCTGAACTGAGGAGCCTATCATGAGGTTCAGCAGTGTGTTCCCTGTGCTGCTATTTGATGCTTGTTCTCAGCTGTGCTCTAGGTGCAGGTGTTATGCTGTAAATAGCAGGGAGAGGGAAGCTGGTTATTGCATGGGTGTAAAAGGATGGAAGTTAGAACCAGTATAATGAGAACCAGTCTAGAGGCATGTGTGCTCCCTCTCCCCACCATGCAAACGTATCCGCAGCTTGTTAATCTTGCTGAACTTCAGCACCATGGACAGTACCCTCTCCAGCACTAACATAGGGAACCCTATGGGGGGGAGAGGGGGGGGTGGGGGGTCTGCAGCATTGTAATCGTTGGGTGATTGTATCAAAAATCGTTAGCAAGCAATGCAACTTTGAATAAAACACAAATTTAAAGAAAATAGAAATCTTAGCTCCATTTTAATTCACTGCACGGATCAGCTGTCAATCACTCCATCCTCCTCACACTTGCATGGAGCTACAAGTGTCTCCTTTGGCCCCGATCCAAGTGGCTTTCAATGCAAACCCATCTTTTACCCTCCAATTATACATATGGTGTTGTGATTGCTCATCTATTAACGAGTTATTATCCAATTCACAAGGATTTGCACTGCAGTCGCTGAAAAACAGTGGAAAGCTGCAGGAGAGGGGAGGCAACAAAGCCAAGTGGGTTCCGATGGATTAGGAGCTGAGCTGGTAAAAAATAAGAGGCACACTTTCAGCAATAGTTAAAACGTGGCACCCATTAAATGCAACGGATAGCTTGTGTGTTGGGCATTGAGCACAGACACATGCATACACCCACATCACTCACACCCACACATCCTCAGCACTCATCCCTTGGTCTTACTGTTGGCCCCCCAACTCTCTCCCACATATTAGGCATCGCATCTAATGAAGACAGAGCCATGGTCGTTAGCAATGAAAATCAGAGACAGGAGTCTAGTAGAATGGGCAGTGACACAGGGATGACATTATACATTGCTATCATTTCATGACTGCACATTTACACTTATTATACCAGGCAGACTCTTCATCCTCCTACAGATTCCAGTGCAAAAAAGAAGAGCAAAAACCTCCTGTAATAAAGACAAGTGCCAACAGTAAAACCATTAGGGCTAACAATTGTAGCAGAAGGCCAACCCCAGGGGGGGTCAATGTATACTTAATAGAAATTGCAGCAGAGACAGGGAAATAATAAAAAAAAAAGAACAGGGAAGGGTTGAGAAGATAATAGATGGTTAAGCAGGTAGCAAGCGTTCTGCATGACATGTATAGAAGTGGAAGTGGGTTATATAAAAGGGAGTGGAGGAAAATAGCAAGTGGCAACCACAGAGGCTGTAGGAGAGAATTGCTGGTAGTTGAGGGGGTAGAGAGGAGCCAGTGGGAGAAAATGGTGAGGGAAAGGAGTAATGAGCATAGACCAGGCTGGGGACATTGCCAATGCAAAATCTCCAAACTGCACCATCAAAATAGAGAAATCCAATGCAACATGTGAGCTGGTCATCGGCTGCCTGGAAGAGGTGCCAGTCAAGGTCTCCTACCTGGAAGAGGCGCAGGATGTTGGCCACCATGATGGACACCGAACTTTCCGATGCCCCAATGACTCCCACCACTTTCTCGGGGCGCACATAGACAGGTGGCTCCCCGTTGGTACAGCGGGCATCCGAGGCATCCTTCTGGATGAGAGCCTGCACAAAGGTCAGAGACTGCTCCAGCGCATAGGTATCCCTGGAGCAGGTGTCCAAGATCCGTGCCCCCAGGGTGACGTTGGGCAGAAGCTCCGGGTCGCTGTTGATCTGGTCGATAGCATAGAGCATGGCTTCCAGACGGTGGATCCCGTTCTCTTTCCTGATGTCCCCGCAAGGCATGCCTGCCACCCCCCTGGCATGGACGGGGAAGAGCCCTCCAAGAGTCATATCTCCTTCCAGCCTGATGGAGTGAGGGGCATAGGGCTCCTGCCCGGAGACCAGCACCACGCAGACCCAACAAGGCAGCCAGTAGGATAATTGAGACAGCACACTGCCTGTCTCTGCACATCCACAGCTTTAAAGCTGCCTTCATTGCCTGCGCCGCCCACCCATCTCATGTCATCACGCTGCCTGCGTGTTATGTCATTTTATGGGCATTTTTGGGGGGCTCTCGGTGCCCGCACCTCATATGTGTCACCTGCCGGAGGTGGAGGGGGCCGGGGGTCCGACCCAGCCACAGACAACAAGGAGGGCAATGAAATGATGGCACTGAGGGGCAAAGGGGGCACTGCCAGAACGTGCTGACATCTTCAGGGAATTACTGCCTAATCCTCATCACAACCTTAACCCTTGGCACTCTGAGACCACAGCAGCCCAATATTTCCAGCCTTTCCCCCCACACTGCTGGGGAATAGGAGAGGAGGAATATACTGGACTTGTCTTTTTTTTTTTTTAAACCCAGTTATCTGTTATACATTTTATTAGGTTATTGTCTTTATTTAATTGTTTTATTAAATCATTAATTTATAATGTATTTATTAATTTTCTTGATGGATACATCGTTTCTCTTTCTAGGTAAAGCGTATGTAAACTTTAAAACATGTTTTTTTGCATGAGCATGGAACAGTTAAAGCTGACCTCCAGAGAAACATTCAAAACTCCCTTTGCAGTGGGGCTCCCCTGCACTGTAAGGGTTAGTTTTACTTAACATACCCAGGGCTGTCCCTACCTTATTTGGCCAGGAGATGGGGGGAGCCTTGGTCAGAGACCATACCCCTCGTTCCCCAGGTTCTTTGCTCCAATGCAGGTTGTGGCGGACGACCCCCTACGTCCTCACTTACAATACAGGACTGCTGGCCCTGCATTGTACGTGATGATGTCAGAGTGCCTGCGACCAATGGAGCACTGGAGAGAAGCAGGTTCGGGTAACTGGTCACATAGAGGGGAGTAAGCCTGCAGGAACAAGCAATAAGGGGAGTAAAACTGCATTTAATAGTATCCTGGACAAAAATGAACAAAATTAACCCTTGCAGTGCTGGGGGGGCAGCTGTCTAAAAATAAAAGTGTGGCCTTTTCATACACGTCAACTGCCTATATCCCTGGTGCCCAACCTGCAGCCTGAGGGCCACATATAGACTTTGGTGCTTCCCATGTGGCGGAATCCCATGTGGCGGACTGGCGGACTCATGTAACATGTTGCTTGTCTCTGACAGTCACCGGCCTCATGTGTACAATCTCCAACCACATCTGTAGCATGTCCATAGTTGGTTTCCTCTCTCAACTCTTCAGTCTGAGACCAGCATCTGTGCCATAATGTGTACTGGATAATATGTGGGACCCCTTGATGGCATCAAGGGACACAGTGGAATCCTATTATATCCAGTTAGCTTAAAATCACTGGTCTGAATAATACCCTGTGTGATCTCTGTGAGGCTTCAGGGGGATGAAAGGGTTAATGCAGACAGCTTGGAGGAAAATGCCGGTTGCCATATTGACTTGTACAAATCCGGGTTTATTGAATAAGACAAATAGCAAAGTGCACCGACCCCGAGAAACCAATTCATAATCATATTCCAGAGTTCCTAAGAGATGAGAGGTGGGACTGGGTACTGGGGGGTACAGACATTGGCACATCATGATTCCCTATGGCAGCACCTAGTTTATAAAGGGAAACATTGGTTCAATGGTTGTCTTCAGGGATGTCAATCAGCAATTGGCTGGTAGATAGAGAAAGTTCTAGATATTCTCAACCATGAATTGTATCAAATTGTACTGTTAGGGGTATAATATGAGGAATTTATTGGTTTAGACTTTACTGAGAGGTCCACTTTAAGTCAGTGAGAGTCCACTTTCCATTAATGAGGGGTCCACTTTAAGTCAGTGAGAGTCCATTTTAATTCAGTGAGAGTTCACTTTAAGTTACTGAGAGGTCCACATGAAGCCAGTGAGAGTCCCCTTTAAGTTACTAAGGTGTCCACTTTAAGTCAGTGAGAGCTCCCTTTAAGTTACTGAGAGGTCCACTTTAAATAAGTAAAAGTTCCCTTTAGGTTACTGAGAGGTATCTGTAAAAAAATAAGTCAAGGCAACTGGACTTGCTGTATTTTTCTTGAAGACGTTTTACCGGTCGTCCGACCAGCTTTCTCAGTTCAGACTGTCAGATGATCAGTGAACCGTCTTCAAGAAAAATACAAGTCCAGTTGGCTTGACTTATTTTTTACGGATATACCATGACCTGGATAAATGAGAACCTTCACAGACTTAATGAGAGGTCCACTTTAAGTCAGTGAGAGGTCCACTTTAAGGTTTGCTTCTGAGCGGAGTTAACCTTTACAGCTCAGTCTCATTTGCTAGACACCAATCCTGTTATTACACCTCTCTGCCCAGCGCTGTATAACAGTCATGTTTTCCCATCGCCGCCCTCAGTGGCTGTGGCCCCGGATGATGACCTTTCAGACACATTTGCAGGCGGAGTGCGTCACAGCTCATCTTCTCTATATTGGATCCTGGACGATGGAGTGCTATCCAGCGGCTGGGAGGTAATAGTTTGCAGGCAGGATGTGAGCGTGAGATGATCTTACCTGCTGTGTAACATGTAATAACGCCTTCTTCGCCCAATTTCTGCGTTCCGGCGAGCTTCTCACAACCCGTTCTCGCGGTTTCCTCATTTTTAACAACTTCTCCCCCACGGGCCCAACACAAGTGCATTAATACAACGATCGCCCCAATGAGGGCTCATTCATGTTGGTGTTGGTGTGTGTTGTGCAGGTGCGCTGTGATACATTGTTACAATGCTTTTTTTTTCTTTTTGCAACTTTATTTAAACACTTAATTAGCATTTTGTTTTTGCTGTATCTGTCGTTGGGTCTTTGATGATCGACATCGCAGTTCGATGCACTTGGTATGAACGATCCCAAACTGGAACATACACTATATTACCAAATGTATTGGGACGCCCCTCCAAATCATTGGTTTCAGGTGTTCCGTGACAAAGAGCGGAGACTGCAAGCCCGGCCTTCTCCTCCTACCTGACCTCACAAATGGCCCAACATTCCCATAGACACACTCCTAAACCTTGTGGACGCCTTCCCAGAAGAGGCGGAGCTGTTATAGCGGCAAAGGGCGGAGCCAACCCAATATTGAACCCTACGGACTAAGACTGGGATGCCATTAAAGTTCATGTGCGTGTAAAGGTGTCCCAATACTTTTGGTAATATAGTGTAGATTGGGCTCAGCATCACATGTGGGCGTTACCTATGCAAATGCAGCCTGCTTAAGAACACCCACTCCTCCAGACTGCCACCCACCCATTTATATTTGCATAACTCCTCCCAAGAGCCAGCCCACTACTTGCATCACGGCTGGGGGCTCTTGAGACGAGTACTGAGGCATGAAGCTATGTACAGCACCTCCCACCAGCCATAATCTGCCTGCATTGCCTAGAGAAGCACAAAGCCAGAGCTAAAAAAAAAAAAAAAAGTGCGCAATGAAAATGGAAAGGTTTTATTTAATAACTTCATTAGCATGTTGATTGGGGGGAGGAGCCAGGTAAGGGAACCTAAAAGCAGAAAAAACTTCAGCTTTATGAAGCAAAAAACTAACAAGTGGGAAGAGTTTTTTTCACTTGCCGCAGTTATCTGAAGTTTGGGCTTTGCTCTGAGTTTTCCTTTAACCTGCCGCGCACAGCGGCGGCCTGAGTCTCGCCGTTCGGGCAGATGGTGCTTCCGAGAGAGCAGCAGGATAGTCAGTTAAGTGGAAGAAGCTGGAAGGATGAAAAGAGTAAGGAGGAATGTCGAAAACTAATTAGCCTGGAAGGTGTCGATGTTTCACGGACCAGCTCTGTCCTCAGAAGAGAACCAGATGTCGCGGACGCGTCTCCTTCCTCTGCGCAGAAAAGTGCCCCATAATCCAGCGCACGAAAAGCCGCTGCTATTAGTCATGACAAATAATCAAATCCGGCAAAAAGTGCCGCAAAAAAACAAACAAAAGATCTGTAAAATAATGCGGCCTAAAAAACTTAAATTGTCAGGTCTCCGCAATACAAGGAGTATTATACTCGCTGTAGCGTCTGTCCGTGTCTTCAGAATGCAACACATCCGGGAGCGTCAGACGTCTGCGCCACAATCATCTGCATCCTGGTTCCTGTGCCGTCCATCACAAATGTCTGAAACAGATCAGCCCCTGCTGCTGCCTCTCAGCTTTTGACTGCTACAAAGTTACAATGCTGCATCCTAACCACTGGGGGGAGGGGGACTGAGGAAATGCTTCCTCCTGCCTGCAGCATTCTGATCACTAGGGGAGGGGAGACTGAGGAAATGCTTTCTCCTGCCTGCAGCATTCTGATCACTAGGGAGGGGAGACTGAGGAAATGCTTCCTCCTGCCTGCAGCAGACTAATCACTGGGGAGGGGAGACTGAGGAAATGCTTCCTCCTGCCTGCAGCAGTCTAATCACTAGGGAGGGGAGACTGAGGAAATGCTGCCTCCTGTCTGCAGCAGACTGATCACTGGGGGAGGGGAGACTGAGGAAATGCTTTCTCCTGCCTGGAGCAGTCTAATCACTAGGGAGGGGAGACTGAGGAAATGCCTCCTCCTGCCTGCAGCAGACTAATCACTGGGGAGGGGAGACTGAGGAAATGCTTCCTCCTGCCTGCAGCAGTCTAATCACTAGGGAGGGGAGACTGAGGAAATGCTTCCTCCTGCCTGCAGCAGACTGATCACTCGGGGGGGGAGACTGAGGAAATGCTTCC